GAGAAATGACCGAAGGGGGTGGGAGGAGGTTGTGGAACTACCGTGAGGAAATGGAGTCTGGGGCAGGAGGGGGGGCGGCTGGCCCAGGCTGCGCTCAAGTGGTCTTTATTAACACTTACTTCACCCCGTCCGGCTCTGCCGCCACAGCACAGTCCCCTGCTAGGCCTTAATGCGGATCAGATGTGCTGCCCTGCGCTGCTCAGCCCCACATCAGATGAAAGCAGCCGCCAGCCTCAGTCCTGGGGGCTCGGGGGGCTGAGACCGTATCTGTGCAGGACGTGTCGAGCAGCAGCCCATAAAGAGACCCACCGCGGCCGCCAGGGAGGAGGAGGAGGAGGAGGAAGGGGGCGGGCGAGTGCAGACAGGGCTCACGGCCAGCGGGAGGGAGGAGAAAATGCCCTCAGAGCAGCTGAAAGAGTCCGGTCGGGTCCGGGGGGGGGTGTGGGGTTGCGGGGGGGGTGCAGTCGGGCTGCTTCTGTCCAGAGAGAGGACTTTTCCTTTTTAACTCTTTTTTTTTAAAACAGAAAAAGCCTCGCAGCCCTAAGGGGGGCAGACAGACCCCCGTAGGTGTGCGCTGTGGCATCTGAGTCGACTGACCGTTTCCCCCCACGATCCTTCTCTCCCTCCCCCGTTGGCGCACGCGACCCGTGACCCCTGGCCCTTTCCTGGGAAGAGCTGTCCCAGGCTACACGGGAAAATCCGGACTGGAGTGGTCTCCCCGCTCTTTCCCCTGGGTGTGGGCAGGGGGCTCTGAGGTGGTTATCCTCTGAGAAAGGAGGATTCCTGGGTAACTCTTGGGAAGTCAGGGCTGTCGAGTCTTGGGGCTCCAAGAGTTCCAGAGTCGTTCCTCCGACAGCTGATCGGTACGTTGTATCACCCTGCAGCTCCCAGCTGGCAGCCCACTGGAGCCCAGCAGGTGTGAGTCTGGCCAGTACCTGGAGGGGAGACTCCTGGGAAAGCTGAGGCTGCTGCTGGAAGAGGTGTTAGTGGGGCCAGTAGGGGGCGCTCACCCTGCAGTCTGTGTGGAGCCTAATGGCCCAGTATAGTGACGGGGACACTGTACTGTAAACAGGCGCCGTCCTTCAGATGAGACATAAAACAGGTCCTGACTCTCTGTGGTCATTAAAAATCCCAGAGTGAAAAGAGTATGGGTGTTACCCCCAGTGTCCTGGCCAAATTTCCCTGTGGCCTTTACCCATCATGGCCTCCTAATAATCCCCATCTCTGAACTGGCTTCATCACTCTGCTCTCCTCCCCCCTGAGAGCTGGTGTGTGGGGAGCAGACTGGTGCATCATCCAGGTGGGGCTGCACACTGGTGGTGGTGGAGGGGATCCCCATGACCTGTACAGCACTTTGAGTGGAGTGTCCAGAACAGCGCTATGGAAGTGTGAGGATTATTATTATTAGGTGTACGAAGGTGCAGGCGCTGGTGTGAGGCCATACCTGACTGCCGGGGCCACAACTACAGGCTTCTTGCTCTTGGCCTTCCCCTGAGGTCAGTGGCAGCGGGGTGTGTTGGGAGCTGGGGGGGAGAGGGGGAAGTGAGGTTATCATCAGGCAAAGGCAGGGGGTGGGGGAGGGGGGTGTTGGCAGCTGTCTGGGCCCTTGCAGGAGAGCTGAGGGCTGCGGTGGCTGTGGGTGTTTTTTCCCCACTGGGCTCTGATGGATGTTAAAGGAGCAGATCAGTAGCGTCACGGACCTGGCTGAGCGCTGTTCAAAGGTCTTCATGAGACCTGGACAGACCCGCTGGATGGTTCTGGTTCTGTCTGTGAGGGTTTCTGCAGTGTCAGGAGATGCCAAATGCGGAGGCGCTATTCACACCTGGGACTGAGGTCCGATTGTCCGGTTCTGCAGCAGCACACAACCCAACATGCCCCCCTGTTCTCACCACTTTATCCAGTTCAGGGTCGCCCATCCCAGCAGGCAACAGGTGCAAGGCAGGGCACACCCCGGAGGGGGACGCCCGTCCATCACCCAGACACAAACACACACAGCATGGCCAGTTCTCCCAGAGACCAATGATTCTCCAGTGTGTCTTTGGACGGTGCAAACACAGGGAGCACCTATGCAATTTCCATCCAGAGAGTGACCTCAGGTCCGGAGTTGAGCCCACTGTGAGGCAGTAAAGCCAGCTGCTGCGTCACCGTGCTGCCCTCTGCTACAGCAGTTGTTGCTGTTGTTGTTCTGGAAACGGGCCCCGGAGCAGGGCAGAGGGAGGGCAGCCCTGAAACCAGGAGGCAACATCACGGTGACATGCCCTGCCATTTGTCAAGGCCCGCACCGTCAGATCGCTATCTCTGAAGAGGTGTCTGTGCTGAAGAGCCCAGTTTATGTAAGGGATAAACAGCAGCCCATGCTCAGGCTGTGGTTTAATCCACTTCCCGGAGAGCAGGGGGGTGCGGATTACTGCAGCCCCGCGTCCCCTCTCCAGATGTTAGACACCTTAAGACCTTTCTAATTGGAGTAAATCTCATTATTTATGCCTGGCTGTTGAGCTGGAACACCATATATACAGGACTGAAGAAAGTGTGGAGTAAGAGGTGAAGAGCAGTTCGAGGCAGGAGCAAGGCGAGAGCCGGCCCACATGCTCGTGCTGGCCGGCTCTGTCTAAACTCTGTGTGTTTGCTGGGGCTTGGTCTTTAAAAACCCCTGCAGCCAGAGCCACGCATGAAGAGTGTCCTGCCCCCTCCTCCTTCCCCCACTGGCACTGAGCCACCTCTTGCAGGAGCGCAGTCACAGTGGGCTAAGTGGCAACGACCCAGGTATGAACCAGAGCCTCTTTCTTTCTATTTTTACCTTGATTTCACTGGGCTTTACCCCACTTACTCCATGGTCTACCACATTAAAGGACAGGATCTCCCTAAACGTCCTCTCCACCGGTTTCTACCCTCAGTCTTGCTGATCTCATGAGGCCTCGAAGGTTAATCCAAGCTGGGCCTGGTCTGTGCTGGGATGGGATGAAAACCTGATGCTGATGTTGGTGTTGCTAATGTAGCAGTAGGTGGCGCTGTTCCCTCTGGTCTTTACTGGTACAATGGTATGGAGACCAGGGCCATTGGAGATGTCATTGGAGGTGCTGCCCTGTGGATGTGAGGTCCTGACTAGTTGATCATTTAAAACCATGACTGTTTGGAAGAGTAGGGCTGTTATCCTCTGTGTCCTGGCTAAACTATAGTCTTCCAGGCTCCCTAAAGGTCCCCCTTAAATCTACAGGTGAAGCAGTTCCTCTGATCTGTTTGTGTAGCTAGGCTGCTGGTGCAGAATTGCTGCCACTTCTGTCTGTGAAGAGCTTTTCTGGGATGAAAAGTGCTAAAGAATTATTATTTTAGTAAAATCTATTTCAATAAAGATATTCCTGCTCCTCAAGAGATGGACAACTTCTCATAACCTGTCAGCTTTCTAAAACATCTTGGAATGTGGAAGTAAACTGGAACAAGAAACACAGAACATGCAAACTCCACACAGAGGGTTCTCAGTCCAGAATTGAACCGGGGACCCCAGGGCTGGAAGGCAGAAGCACTCACTAGTACGCTGCCCAAGCCTGCTATTTACTGTATATTGCAGTCATGGAAATGCTGTTAGAAAGTTTCTTAGTACCTAGCATGTTTCATTGTGCTCATTTTAATGTGTAAGTGTGCGTTAGGGCAAACACAAAAGGAATGAAATTAACCCTCAGCGAATAACTTCAAATAGAATCAAGTTGTTCTTTTTTTCATCTCATGGGGCCTCTTGAAATAAAAAAAGAAATATATAATAGACAAAATTCTGTACCCCTTCTTTCCTGAGGTTATAAGTTTCAGTTTTACAAGACTAAGGGGTGAAGGGCTTAAACCATTCCATTACACTACCACTGAGCTCTGTGAACTTGTTTGAGAGGGAAGTCCTTGCTCTCTGTGGGTATTCAGTGGATTTTGTCTGTCCATTAGCGTGACTTTGGGCTCCTAAGTGCCCATCTGAATGGAAACCTTCTCTGTTCTAACTGACACAGCTGGATGGAAGCAGGAGTCTCAGCTCCCCAGAAGCGAAGACGCACTTGGAAACATCTTGTACGCCCCCAAAAACACCAGGGGTCTGCAGGATGGTCGTTTCATTCTGTGTAATTTGTGCACTGTGTGCACCGTGGAAAGACACTGTATTCCATTTTGTTATGAGCAAGAAATCACCAAGCACTGTGCACTCCCACTGCAACTGCCAGAGGGAGGTTACATCCAGTCCAATTTCAGAGTCGATCCACTAGAAATTGTAAGTGAGTGAGGAGGAGAAGACAGTGACTCTGTCGTCTTCTGCCACACAGAGTTCTTCCCAGGAACATCTGCAGAAGGGGTGTTTTTTTATTCAAGTTCCATAAACCCTAGAATGACATATTTACAGAAACTGTTTAATGATTGAAACCATGAGATCCCAGATCTGAAACAAAAGCATTTTCCTTTAAAACAAGCCCAGAAAAAAAAGGTTCATAACCTCTCTTGCTCTGCATTAGCTGTAGTGTAACATTCCTTACTGGCACACTGAGACCAGAGACCCAGTTGTCGACATTCAGTGGCGGTAGTTTGTGAAATGTCTCTTGCCACTGTTTGTTCACGTATTAATCGTGGGTATTCATTAGTGTGGAGAGTTGGGGACAGAAATATCCCTGCTCTGTTACTTCATTAGAGTTAAAGCCTAGCCTACTCACACCTTACATTATAGCCTGCTGTAACCATGGCTGCTGGTGCTGCTGTCCATGCCATTGTGTGTCTCTGTGTTGGCCAATCAGGTAGATACATCTGTTCTCACCAAACTATCCTATTCTCCTCCCCACATGTCCGGATGGCGCCCAGGATGGGCACCATCTGAGTTGGATGCTGCATCACTGCCATGGATCCAAGAAGGACATTGTGGATATAACTATCGTTTAGGAGGATTTTGCGGGTCTACAGAGATCTGCATGGAGTACTGACATACAGAAGACACGATGGATGGATTAAAACCCTCATTCATTAATTTCTTTTTTAATTGTATAATGTTAGCATGCCCAAAGGGGTTGGGCAGCCAGTTGACCTTGGACACCAAGAGGTTTTTTCCTCCTTACTGAGGAGTTTTTGGTTCCTCTCCTCCATTGTCTTCTGGTCTTTTCTGTTCTGCATTCACATTCTTGGTCACTTGCATTGTTTAGCGCCTTGGGGTAACCTTGTCGTGAAAGGCGCTATGTAAAAATCCATTGAATTGAATTGACAGCCACTGTCTCTGGAAGAAGCCATGCATCTGAGCAAGAGCTGTGCAGGTGAAAACATACTGTTGTATTTCAAAGGAGGAAACCATACTGTGTGGTAAGTATTTTAGTGGAGACATCCTATACAATGGTATGCTGATCTTTAGTGTTCTGTGGCATTTGTCATGATAAACTACAGTACCGTAGTTGAGAACTAGTTTTTTTTACAGAATCAATTGTGAAAATCGCTTATGGTGGTCGAATAATCCAATATGATTATGGTCGTGCTTTGTCTCTCAGGAACTAAATCTTTTTATTCGCTTGCAATAGGAGCTAAACCTCTTTCTTGTCCTGGGACATTGCAGACGTGCCCATTGCAACACTCTGAACAGCACTCAGAGAAGTCAGCTCCTTGGAGAACCCCAGGTCACTGGCAGAGAGCTGGGCTCACGAGTGAGGGTGAAGAAAGGATCTGTTTAGGACTGAAAATTCTGGCCACGTTTCCACAGAAAGAGCAGGGGTGATTTCACCTCCATCGAGCCAGCTCCCTAGGACCCTTCAAGCAATGTTGGGGTGAAATTCTCAGATCACTGGGCTCTGTACATCACAATGAGCAAGGTAACTCAAACGGCTATCTCTTTTTTCGAACATTTCACATGATTATATCTGCATGTTGCATTGTGGGGGTGGATTCCCATATATGGCTGTGTGTGTGCGCTTGCACAATGCATGTGTGTTTTTGAGTGTATGTCTCTCTTTGTCTGTGTTCCGGGTGGGTGTGTGTGTGTGTGCGTGCGTGCACGTATGTCTGCACGAGACAGGGCTGTGAGGCAGCAGTGCAGGAGTGATTTGCCTGAGCCGTTATCATGGCTGACAGCTGTGTTTCTTTCTCCTGCAGAGCTCGGCGGTTGTGCAGCCCGGCCTCTCTGTGCATCGCGCTGCCTCTGGGTCTTGTACACACTGCTCCTGCTCCTGCGAGGAGGAGGAGGGGGTTGGCGGGGGGGTGTTGAGGCCTTCGAAGGGAGCGTGTGTGTGCGTCTGTGTGGGTGGGTGGGTGGGGGGTGCTCTGCAGCCCGCTGGCTCCGACAGGGCCTGCCTCATGCGAGCCAGGGCTCACCTGCACTCCTCATTGTTGGGGGGCCGCTTCTCTAACCAGGGTGAGCGAAAAGACTTGTCTTCCCCCCTCCCTCCTCTTATGGGTGCATTTTTGTGCCGGAGACACTGTAGGTATAAAGCAGACCCTGTAAACCTGCTGGAGTTGAATTGGCGGAGCCTAAAAAAAAGACGTAAAAAAAACAACATTCTGCACTGGAACAGAAAGCTTTTGACCCTCCT